AAATAGCTTGAATGTCCCCAGATTTCTGAAGTTTGAAAACAAACTACTTATAAGTAGTTCATGTCTGCTGTTGCCTGTCATTATGGGATTGTGGTGAAGTTGACACCCACCAGTGAAGCCACGTGGACAAAATATAAGTCACCTACAGATGCTTGTACGTTCGGTTAGTTATTAATCCCTTGATTTCCACCTTGGAAAAAGCAAGAAGTCTATGAAGTTTATTCAGTCCAACTAAGCCTACCTTAATCGACTGTACTCATCAATATACATACACTTACACTGTTTTTATCAGTAACGTATTTTAGTGCGTCATTATGTCGACCACAGACGCTCCATAAATCTTACCTTACTTACATGTTAAGTTTTCGATACGTCAGAATTGTTTAAATAAAATCCTAATCACTTTTTACAACGAAATCCCCATTCTATAAGAACTTACATTAAAGACATGAGAAATTCTGCCTTCTAGTGCATCCTCATCAGTTCCAAAGTAGAATATTGTCATTTCTTCAACTACATAATATGTTTGTGGGGTTCTCTAATGAGTTCTGTAACAAATCCTTTACGAATACTTCTCATTGTATAAATTTTTGTGAATTACAACTGATCAATACGAAGTAAACTGTCGTAAAAGCACTTCTACACTACTGTAATAAACCGCCATAGTATAAAATCTCGCGAATATACATAGATACTTCAACGAAAAAAATTTATGTGAACCAATAGTGTTTTTCTCAACACTCTACTGAAGTTATTTTGGTTAATTCCCCATGATGTATAACTGTAGAACCTGGTTGGATTTTATTTGCAAGAGTATTATTCATTAATATATCTATTTTCTAACATATGAAATTTATTACATAACTAGTAATCATATCAAAAATGATGATTGTGTTTCTCAATCCCTTACACTCTTCGGAAAAGATACTTACGGTCTATACACAAATCTCATAGACAAACCCCATAAAAAGTCATTTCGTTTCCAAATGAAATTCTACAACAACAGCTGATCGGTCAGATAAAGAAATAGTAGCTTTTTTTGTAGACGTGAAGCAAAGTTTTAAAAAATGATTAGTTGAAATGATCAGAGAATCATAGATTTCATACATGAACTCCCCAGACATACCTCGAAACATAACTTTGGAAGTCAACTTCATATTTAACTTGGTGATTGTTTAATTGCTGAGATGATTGCACCAAAGCTGGTACGAGCATCCTAGAGTCAACTCTGAGATTCTGATTGGTCCTACAAGATAGTAGCTTCTCATCTAACCCAGCCGGTTCAGTCCAGAAGGCCAATATCAGCCTCCGTTATATGAATCATGTATTTCAGACATACTTGGTTTATATACAAACAAACAAGACCACATCATACCATAAAACAGAAATTGACAATTATACAAGATCAAGCCAAAAAGTGGCTGTGATTGTGAAAGACTCTAACTAATAAATTGGGAATAACTTAAGAATAGCATATCGTATAATAGTAGTCAATAGGTCAAATGAAAGCTTGTAGTAAAAGAAATATGAACATACAAATAATATAGTTAACTTATAGTTAAACAATAAGAATATACGTAATAGCAGTTCATAAATAGATCCTAGCAGTTAACATTCACTTATTCTTCGTCCGGATATAATAGTATGGTTACCCATTAATGGCAGAAGAAAACAATTTTGTTAAGCAACCACTTGTAAGTCCCTTCCAACTTCTGAATCAACTTCACTGATCACAATCATTCTGTTAAGGTGTTTTCTGTTCTCCACACTTTACCAAGCACCCGACTGCGAAGAGTTTCCATTTCTTTCTCTGATGCTCCGCATTCTTCTTGTCTGATACTTGTTTTATTTTCACGTTCCTTATTGCCTTGTTGCGTTAATCACCAGTCTTTCCTTCTGCCGGAGCAACATCATTACACTGTCCACTGATCGTTTGTCGACGTCTGCGCCCTCTTTTATTCCTTTGATTACCTTTTTAAGGTTAGAGTCAGCCTTTTGCTGCCGGACAAGTTCTAGTGGGTCTTCCTCTAGACTATTCACTGAGTATGCTGTCAGTGGACGTTAAGCTTTAATTTCCGGCCCCGATAATTACTCCGCCATTACATTCTACTTCCTTGAAACACACCCGATACTAAAGTCATGCTTCTGCAGACGTATCATCCATCGCGCCAACTTCCCAAGTGATCTCCAACTGTTTTAAACCACTGTAGGGGTCTTTGATCAGTCTCGATATGGAATCGCCTGACTAGCAGGTACAGTCTCCATTTATTTGCTGCCCACACAATCACCAGACACTCTTATTCTACCGTTTAATACTCCTGTCCAGTGGATGTGAGGACGTGACTCGCGTGTTCCACCACACTATCCGATTGATTTAGACGGCACCCATAGTATGACCACTTGCATATGTGGTACTGCAATGTTCTTTATGGTTAAAATTTTCTCCGGCAGCCGTTTCACTTTTCCATTTCTCAATTTATACCCCAACAACACAATGCCACTCCTCGCCATCTGCGACTTATCCTTATTAATTCGTAGTCTAAGTTCTTCAATTCTCCTTAGGATCACTTCCACATGCTTTACGTGATCTTAGTCTGTATGGCTGTACACAGCTAAGTCGTCGTCATACACCCTGACGTTCTCTATCTCTTCGAGCAGCAGCGTCGCCAATCTTCTGAACGTTAACGGTGCGCCTGCCAACCCAAACCGCGTTCGTATAAATTGATACCGCTTATCACGCACGGTAAGTGCTGTCTTGTTTTGATCGCTCTACTATCGGCAGCTGCCAATAACCTGACCGTAAATCCAGTACTGTAAACACTGTGGCATTCTGATACTGTTGGCATCGCACATGGTTTCAGCTCTGTTATGTTATTCGGCTCTTAAAAATCGACACAGAACCCGTACTTTACATTCGGTTTCTTTATAAATACTGGAAAGCTAAATGGGCCGTCCTCCTCTTCAATTACACTTTACTTCAACATCTGGACTTGTCGACTAACCTCAGCCTCTAGATACAGATACAGTTACTCGATCCTTCTTTACCAGAATTTCATGCTTTACTTTGTCACAAAATCCGTACGGCTCTTCGTCTCTCGTGTACAGTTTCGTACACCTTATGAACAATTCGTTATTATTTAGTTCCTTCGTCGGAATGTCTGTTGCTACTCTCATTTTGGCCACTTCGCTACTTTTATTCACTGGGAATGAGCCGTACTTCGTGACCATCTTGTTGCTTGTTAAGTCAATCGTCGCTATTACTTCTTTTAGGAAATCTGCTACTAACATCGGTCTTGGCAGGCTTATGGTTAGACATACGTACAACCTCTAACATGTGCCCCCCTATGTAGTGGACAGCTTACTTACTTACTTACTTACGCTTATTACTCCCGATGGAGCATAGGTCGCCGACCAGTTTTCTCTAACCAACTCTGTCCTGGGTCTTCCTTTCCAGCTCTGTCTAATTTTTGCTCATTTTTCTCATCTCTGTCTCTATTTCTTGGCGTAATGTGTTCTTTGGTATTCCTTTTTTCTTTTGGCCTTGAGGATTCCAAGTCAGGGCTTGCCTTGTGATGCAGTTGTGTGCTTTCCTCAATCCGTGTCCTATCCACTTCCAGCACCTCTTCCTGATTTCTCCCTCCGCTAGGATCTGGTTTGTTCTCCCCCCACAGCAGGTTGTTGCTGATAGTGTCTGGTCAACGGATCCGAAGAATTTTGCGAAGACAACTGTTAATAAACACTTTTATCTTCTGGATGATGGATTTCGTAGTTCTCCAGGTTTTCGCCTCATACAGAAGAACACTCTTGACATTCGTGCGCATCCACGATCATGCGCCCCGCGAGATTCGAACCGCTGAGAAGTCCCACAATAGGACGAAATGGCCGTCCAGTACTTCCAGGTTTCCAACGATGGTTTAACATCAATCGGTTCATGATCTCAATCAAAAACCTTATAATCTCCACAACCCCTATACTGTTCATTAAATATTGGAAAACAATACTTATTTTTGTTCTTCATATTATTTCTGTGTTTATTTTCTAAGAGAATGATTCATAGGATAAAGTTTTTTACGAGTGAATAATATACAAATACACATTGGAAGTACATTATCTTTTCGCCTTTGTAATCCATCATTTATTTTTCAAATTATTGTATAAAATATCAAATAATATACAATGATAGTTAGTCAATGTATTTAGTTGTAGCTTTTACAAATTACATATAAACTATTGTAGGATGTTTTATTTTGTTTTTTAATCGTAATCGACAATAGTAGAAGAATATCAAATGTTTGATCGTAATGATTTTATTTAATTCTACCATGTTGAATCAAATGGTAATCTGATAATTTAATGACTATTTAGAAAACATATGAAAAATACACGTTTCCATAAACTGATGATATTTTATTGAATATTTGTTTAGTAGGTTATATTTCTTTTGAGTTGACAAGTTGGATATATCATGAATTCATTTTATTTTGTAGGTTCTCGTCAGTTGCTTACAATATGAGAGGTTTGGTTGGAAGTTTTATTGAAAACATATTCGTATAGTATAACAATGGTGTACGAATATGTCTTCAATATAACCTGCAACCAAACCTTTCATGTTGTAAGCAACCGACGAGAACCTATAAAATAGAAGAAATTCATGCTATTCTGCTAGAATCTTTATTCTTACTCTTTTCAAAATGATAAAAGGATTTATGTGTATGAAATGGAATATATGATGGAAAGGACTTATACTACTAACAACATCTATATTTATATGTGATTCGAAACCTTTATATTTATATATAATGTAAAGTTTGCTCATGTTTAATAAACAAAAATACATGACGAGTTACAAGCCTTTACATCGAAATACATTTATATGATAAGCCATAAAACATTTTCACTATTTCCTACCTTATTTCTAGTTACTGAACTGTTTTAACATTATACCTCTCAACTAATTCAATACAAGATGTATTACTTTGGGAGAAAAAAAACTATGATGATGATAAATTCGAAAATGATATTTTATTTGAATTGGTCAACGTGTATCATATTGATATCATTCAACATATTTTCATCCGTTCGAATTTAGTTTACGTAATCTAAAGAATTGAACATAAAGATATAATGTAATTGATGAAAAACAATAAATCCATAGGAGAAATTTAATTATCAGAAGGGGTTTGTGGAGATTGAAATCATGAGTCAATTGAATCTAGACCACCATGGAAAATCTGGAAGCACTGGACGGCCGTTTCGTCCTAGTATGGGACTCCTCGGCAGTGCGCACCCACAATCTCCCATCGCGGGGTTCGAACCCAGGACCTATCAGTCTCGCGCGTGAGCGTCTCACCACTAGACCATTGAGTCGGCATCCAACGGTGTTAATGTTTAACTTCAACTAATCCATGGCCGTCCAGCGCTTCCAGGTTTTCCATTGTGGTCTAGCTTCAAATGACTCATGATTTCAATCTGAGAAATTTAATTATTCATCTTTGAGTAAATCCTTTTTTCAATTATTATGTGATGTAGACTTTGGTGTCTAATAATGATTAGTTATCTTTTACATAATACTATCAGTCATGTTGCTTATATTGATGACATTTTATATCATCCTATTGTATATGGTATGATTTTTGTATTATAAGAAATGATTCAGTCAATAAATGTTATAAAACTGTAAAACATTTTATGAAGTGACTAGATCTGAACTTCAGAATTATTCATAGTAGACACTTGAAAGAAAGTTTAATTTATGGATCAAATTATTGCAATAGTACAATCATTGGTTTTATCCAGTTACTAATTTTATTACAACCATCCATATAACTCCTATACAATGAAATCAATCAGTCTAATCAGTTTAGAGTATTCACTAAAACAAATTAATATCTTTCAACTTACATGATACAGTCCTTGCGAACACTCTTAGAAATTAATATAAACAGATAGTTCGTCATTAATACAGTGATTGTTCAGAGAAATTATAAGGAGTTTATTTCTCTGATTTACTGTTTCGTTTATTATTTTCTAGATAAAATTCTTATACTGCTTGTTATACTCAGTAATGAAAATAACACTAGCCATCTCATGAAATGAGAAATCTAAAAACAGACTTAATATAATAGATATATGTATTTTATATAGTGACATATCGATTATAAATTAACATTGAATAATTGGAAGAAAGAGGATTAATAATGATCAAAGTAATTATTCGAAAAGTAAGCAGTTGCTACGTCGCATAATATATGAAAAAAAGAGAAGGAACTGCCAAAATATTTTGATGAAAGGCGGTACAAAAAACATTTAACGCAGCCAAACTGTCTACCATCTTCTACAAGTGCCTCACAATAAGAACGACTAATAATGACAGATTACCTGAATTTGCCACATCTATGTGTATTTATTGATTCAAATGCTCCTGTAGAGCCAGTTATATAGGACGTACAATTCGGCAAATTCGTCGTCGTATAACAGAACACCATCCTCCATGGTTGAGCAAAGGACAGATAAGAGTGACTACGAGTTCTATTCTCGCTTACTTGGTGGACACAGGTCATCAAGTTGAACTGAACAAAGCCTTTAAGGTTATTCCATCAAATTTATCACATGATTTACAAGTGCGTCTTTTGCACATTGTTGAAGCCATTACAATCCATGTTCACAAATATAAACTTTGCATCCAAAAGAAGTCTGTACAATCACTCTCGCTATCTTGGCCATCGGTATACGGGAGTTTGTGGCAGAACCTTTGATAAACTGTTTTCATATTTCTTCCATTTTTTGTATTTTGCTTGTTCTCAACATTCGTCTCTTGATTCTTACATAACTACTATACTGCTGACCATTCATCAAAATATTTTGTTACTTCCTTCTCTTTTTTTATATATATTATGCAACGTACAAACTGCTTAATTTTCAGATAATTACTTTGATCATTATTAATCCTCTTTCTTCCAATTATTCAATGTTAATTTATAATCTATATTCCATTATATAATTATTACGTAGCGTATCCACTCAATGAGCATTATTTCATTATTGTAAATCAAATATTTTAATGGTGAAGTTAATAATTTAAGTGTAAATACTAAGATGTAAATATTACTGAATATTTGGGAATATGAGTCAATTGAAGCTAGACCACAATGGAAAACCTGGAAGCACTGAACGCCCGTGGATTAGTTGAAGTTAAACATTAACACCGTTGGATGCCGACTCAGTGGTCTAGTGTTGAGACGCTCACGCACGAGACTGATAGGTCCTGAGTTCGAACCCCGTAATGAGAGATCGTGGGTGCGCACTGCTCAAGAGTCCCACAATAGGATAAGACGACCGTCCAGTGCTTCCAGATTTTCCATGGCGGTCTAACTTCAATTGACTCTTGATCTCAACTATTGAAATTACTACAATCTCCAATAAAACCCTTCTGATATTACTGAATATTTTTATGTTGTAGACAAAATATATGTGTACTAGATTCGATTAGAAAAACCTTAAATAGACTAATATATAATAATATGAATTTTAATACATTCATTAAAATCATTCAATGGGAGAATTTATAAATAATTTATAACTGAACACTGGCAGAAGCGATAATGAAGGCTGAAGTGATTTGCCGAATCTAAAAATAACCAATCAGTATAAAACATAATTTAGAAACTAATTTGTTAACCTGTTGTATATTTTGATTTAAGTTGTTTCGAAATAAAACTTACTCAAATACATAGTACATTGGGCTAAAGATAAGGAATTAATATTCTTAGAGAAAAATAAGAGGGGAGCAAATATAATCTGCTATCTTGCTGAAATAAATTCAACATTTACGAATTCCATAGAACCTTCCTATTATCTATCAATATAATTTGATTTTAACACTTTCCTCATATGCTGTTTTACAATGCAAGTGATTTAATACACAAACTGACATTAAATTACTATAGGAGGCTTAATGGAGATTTTCCACTTCTTATAGTTAACACCAGTGACTAATCCTTTTTAAGTGACTAAAAATAACCATAAATCACTGAACAGCTGTTTCTTCATAGCATGGAACTTTAAAACCGTAGGTGCTAGTTTCGGTGGTGAATGCGTACAGTTTAGAGATCACAAACTGTGACGAGACAGGTAGCCAATGCTTCCTGATACTCAATCCTCCTATTATAAAGATCAGTACGTGATGTTAATAATATTATTAACATAAAACTTTTAAACTAATTTAATACTAGTTAAAAAAATTTCACTCACTTCACCAACCACAATGGTAGGCTATGTTGTGTAAATATTTTGAAAATTAGAATGAATATTCCTCATCACTGTGGTCAAATTCGAAATGGTCGGCAGTATGCTTTCCTAATAATAATTTCCGTTATGATTAAATAAAATGAGGATATCCAATAAATATAAGTGAAGTTATAGTCTCTGTGAAAGTTTTCAAATGAATGTCGTCTGACTTCAAGAGGTATATCCTGGAGTTCTAGTGAGAAGCAGTGACCAGTTGAGTTCAACCGGGTCTGTTGTGAGATAGTAACTCACTGATGACAAAGGGTTGACGTGTCGCTCAATTTCGTGGATTAGCCAAAGCTAGACATTAACACCGTTGGATACTGGCTCAGTGGTTTAGTAGTTAAGCGCTCACGCTCCTGGGTTTGAATCTCGAGAGGCGGGATTGTGGATGCGCACTGCTGAGGCTCCCCACAATAGGACGAAACGGCAGTCCAGTGTTTCCAGGTTTCCCATGGTGGTCTAACTTCAAATGACTCATGATCTCAATCATTAAAAAAAGAATGTCGAATTGTCACATTGTCTTGTCTGTTTACAAAATGCCAATCAAATTATACAATGACTGGAGGTACTGACACATAAATAAATTCAATGAGTAGAAATCATATCACAGTTTCTCTTATCTGGCTTGCGAATAAACATCCTTCTCAAATACGATACACTTTGTTGTTTAGTATACCACAAAAGTAAGGTTTCCTCATTCACAATATCACGTATGTAACTAGTGATAAAACACGATCAGATTACTGAGGTACATTTATTATCATTCATATTGTATCCTGTTATTGTTAAATGACTTATTTTATCGATAAAAGAAATTACGATCTCAAAAAAACAGTAAACATCAATGAAAACTTACACAGATCCAGAATTAAGCCTACGATGAAAATAGATTCAAGAAAGAGATATTAGCCTTCATTGTCAGAACTTGAATTCATTGTCCATTGTGTGGTCTACAAAGTCTTTCAGAGTCATTCGTGTTTAAATAATCGTCAAATAATGTTCCACATGATTAACATTTACAGTATGAATGTATGATTTATTCACTAACGAAGAAACTAGTTTATTAAGTAGACATTTTGCACTACGATGTTCATTCCATCAATGTTTTCAAAGTCAGTCGTTATAATTCGGTTTAAATGATGTCATCACTTAAGCTAAAATCAATCATACAATGTATATACGCATGGCTGAATGTACACTAATTAGTTCTATAAAAAAAGCCAAGTCAGTCTGCAACTTACAGTTCAGAAAATCTGTGAAATGGGCTCCTGAAGTGAACAAAGAATAATTAATATACTGGCCTAAATGAGGTTTTATGTAAGTGAAATTTAACAGCCAAATATTAATTAATGAAATGATAAAATTTTCATTCTGTGAATCTGTTGATTTTTAAAACTAATAACCGATAAAACATGTTCAGAGCAATATACCATAAACAAGCGCATAACATTTCAAATAAGATATAGTGCCCTGTTAAAGGTTACTCAATCCCTTCTAATAGTTCTTAAATTGAAATCACTTTTCATAGATCATCTACAATCTGTACACAGCTCCTTTCGGAATCTTTCCAGTTAGTAACAATGTCAATAGAATTAACTTCTGAATTACATAATAATATAATTAGTTTGTATTTTCTTGATTGCTGGAAAACTATTCAAATATTTATCATCAGAAAACTTGCTAATTTGTTTTATCTTCATTATAAATCAAAGTAATGTCATTCAATAATAACGATAATACATCTAATTCACTCATTTGAATTACAATGGTCTAAGTAATTCGATTATCTATGGGATGAAAGATTATTTGAACGTTCATGAAAATGGACTACTGTTCGTTGTGGTGTATGCAAACAAAAGTAGTCATCTAAATGTTTACTCAGATTAAATCGAATATATGCACAGTGGAATAAGTAACAGTACGCACCCACAACCCCTCTCACGGGATTCGGACCCAGAGCCTGAGGTCTCGCGCATGAACGCTCAACCTACTTGACCACTGAGACGGCATCCGACGGTGTTAATGTCTAACCTCCACCAATCCACGAAATTGCGCGGACATCTTCTGAAACTGAAGGTGCTGGGTTTGAATCCCGCGAGCGGGATCGTGGATGCGCACCGCTGAGGAGTCCCACAATAGGACGAAACGGCCGTCTAGTGCTTCCAGGTTCTCAATCGTGGTCTAACGTCAACTGGTTCAAGATCTCAATCAATAACTTAATGATCTCCACAACCTCATACTGAAAATAAATAACAAACTGTAATCTCTATAGTAATATAAGTGATAAACACGAAAGATGTAGAAAATTCGTGTAATGGAATCAAAATAAGAAGTTATTTCATTTTTATGGAAGATAAATAGTCTCCGGAGAATCAGGTTTATCCTTCAGTTTCCATAACACTGTATTATATCGTATTTTTTTTTAGATATACAATAGGAAAAAATATGATTTGATTTGATTAGATAATGAAAAAGCATATTATAAAATCTGATGTGGAATAAGTAGTCTTACTCTTCTTCTTCTAATTGCTTACTATAATTCACAGAATGATTAAGGGGTAAATAAATGACATTGGTTTAAATATGTTATCAGAGATGGTGTGTGTGTGTGACCACTAGATTTCTTGATATAAACAGAAAGTTATACGCTTTGAATAATACCAAGAATATACTTCCATTCCAAATGTGAAATTAAATTAAGAGCTAATTGGGACGGTATCTAATATTCAACTGATAACTTTCAGAATATTAAATACCAAACTGGTTTAACATCTTTCTGTAAATGTGACATTGGTTTTATTGAAGCCAGAAAAATGGTAACTTGATCCAGGTATTATAGCTAGTAATTTTTTTATTATTTAAAGTGATCGGTTTAGAGATCAAGACGAATAATCACAGTTACACTCGTGGCTACATTCAGATGATGAATTCCACAACCCAACAAACAGAACGACTGAACTTAATTCTATCGTTTGCCAAATAATATGTATGTCAGACAGAGTTCAGACGTTTCACTGTAGCTTGCATGAAGAATAAAGTTTCGTAACTACAAATCGCAGTCTGCTTGAACCCTAAAATAATTTTAGAAATAATATCATTATAGTAATACAATAAACGCTGCTGAAAATAACATTACCACTACCATTTAATAAAATGGGAAAACATGTTGTTTGTTTACAAACACGATCCATATTGAAATAGATTGGGACATTACCTCTGAGCAATTTACACGGACAGAGTAGTGAGATTTAATTCTCAGACAAGAAACACAATTAATGGAATTGTAAAATACTGAAGAGTAGACAGATGGATTTAGAACTATCAAATGTTCAGTTATGTTGAGCTATTCATCTCGTGTAAATCACAGCTCAAAAGCCTATTTCTGTCAGCTTTCATATTCCGTTCTATCATAATACTGGTATGAGGTACTCTTGAGTGTGAAAATAGTGTAATCACTGAATATTATCAGAGTTATCACATCAACACCACTAATGAAGACACTTTAAGTTAGAGCAGTTTTTATTTTCGTTTAGGTCTTTCTAGAAGATTCATTCATGAAATTGCCACATTTATTGTAACTGTATGATTTTGTGACGTTTGTAATAGTATTGAATAAAATGTGTCTGTATTATTCATGCATAAAGGAAGATTTTGAGTGTGATGGAGATTAGAAAGAAAGGATGCAGTGTTATTTATTTCGGAGCACAATTTAGCTTTTTCAGTCAATGTGGGAACTATAATACATCGATTAAATCATTACTTCCAATCACCTACAAGATTGTACTGTTGTATAGCATTTCATAAATACCATGTTTAGTTTTCCATATAGAACCATTTAGGCATTTTGTATTTGATCCAAAAAAAAGCTAACTATCGAAGTAAGAATAACATATTTAAAAATGTTCATCTTACTGTGGAAAATCGGGAAGTTGGCTAAGACATGTAGTAAAGGAAAATGTTGGTATGATCGTTTATGATAATCCATGGAGAAACATTGTTTGGGTTACTTTTGTAATCCTTCATAAAAGGGTTAAATCTGTTAACAAGTACTAATGTTTTCATTTGCATCACATGTGTACTGAAGAAACAACAGATTATATGAATTACAAACTAAATCACATAGACTGAACTAAACTAATTTCAAAGTAAGTACAACTTAAAATCAGTAGTTTCTCAACTTTTAATTAAGAGTTTGGCAAAGTCGAATAAGAAGAAATAATTCATTAGGCAACAGCAACCTCTCTATTTCAAGCTAGCTAAAGACTAATGTAACTCTAATTGGAAATTGCTCACCATTATTCTTCGTGACTTTCAATCTTAACATTAGAGATTACGGGTAGAATTATTCTTCATACACTATACGACAATGTATGTCTTTTTTCAAGTTGAAGCTTTCGGGAAATAATTACGGTTAGGAAACTAACCATGACATTCCTTGAACTTACTCATCCAATATCAAATACGGCATTAAATTATTAAATTCCAACAGGTCCTGACATAAATGATGTCAATTCTTAAGGAAAATCACCTTGGAGTACACTAGGAAATGTTTAATTCATGTGACAAAATGTATAGTAATACTCGCACTAACATCTCAGTTCTTAGAGTTGGTCACAGTATGTAGATCGAATTATGCAACTTGATCTGTAAGCGAAACTTTTTGACGAACAATGAAGTGAAATGGATTTCTAAAATCAAAAGTCAAAAACTTACTCGTCGTATTCAGGCATCTTATCAGAGTTTCTGTTAATAGATCTAAAAGGGAAACGAACAAGATTAGTGATACCATTGAGTGTCCTTCTTACCCTAATTTCCGAAATTCTAATTATCTCTACTATTATTTGAAAAGTAGTTAGAAAGTAATCTTATTCTCATTGAACTGTGATAAAAAACACTGAAGCTTATTCTTATAACAATTTAGTTGGTGTCTAACATATCAAGGAATCTTTACTGATTCGGAGTAATTATCACACGTCACAAAGGTAACGTAAGAAAGTTTTTATTCACTGGATAGTAAGTAACCTTTCCTCCAGTCTCTTGTGATATTTAATCATGCTTGTTTACAAATTAATACTTTTCAAATCAGTATGTTATTTCGTTTGAAAAGAAACTATTATGCTGGACAAATATCATGTTTTCTGACATCAGCTCATTCGACGCTTATGTCGGTGATCCAGTTTCGAGAGAAGACACTACTTAATCACTCCATATTATTTATCACTTGACACATTCCACTCAGTGATTTCATGAACCCGAAACACCCTTTAATTGCAAATCTTCAAACCTTGATTCATAATACTCAACCGAGTCACTTTTTAAAACTGTCGAATTATCATTGTTATTACTGCATGTGAGTTCAGACCTGAAAAAAATTTATGTCGTTATATCATAATTGACTGACACTCTACGATTCGAATATGCTAATGATTTTTCTACATATCTCCAATTACGGTGACAAAAATAAGATAAAACAACGAAAATACACCTGATATGCTGGTGTGGAAATATTTGAGCAGATAAGTTTAGCTTCTTTTCTCAAAATAATTGAGTTAAATAATGTGAAGAGAAGACTATATATAAAGGTTCATATATTAAGTCTTACTTGTGTGTGACTTGACTATTATATTTACCTAGACTGGAAAGATGCCATTGAAAACGTCGAATTATTAGTAATATTGAGCTCAGAATCTGAATAGAACAAGTGAATAAAATCGAGTTTCTTCATCATTGTCTTGAAATGAGCTTGAAACTCATACACTGATTTGTTCGACGTGTTTCCGGGAATAAACTTTAATGAAATACATACTGAAGTAGAGCTCCCCAGGACAGACATTGGTGAATCATTGTACAATTAGTTGACGTTAATAATACTAAATGGGGATGTTACGTGCAAGGATTTTTGATGATGTAAAGAATGAATAAAACCTTCTTGGAAGCAGCTTTTTAAAAAACTGAGAATATGAATCACATTTGATGATGAAATATTCATTTGAAGTATAATACCTGTCACTTTATGTTTAATATGGGTAAATTATTTAGCTTTAATGACTAACTGTAGAGGAAAAACTATTTATGGTCATTGACTAAAGTCATTATGTGTGTTTTCCTTCGCTTGACATTTATCTACTGTTTAGTGTTTCATGGTTTCCTATAGATCTTCAGCCGATACCAGTCTATGATGACAGTTAACCTTATATTATAGGTTAGAACTTATTATATCTGATTTATCATTGATGTTACGATCATTTGTATTGACTCAATTTGACCGAAAGTGTATTCACACTTCTCTTTGTGTTTTTTTAATATTCTAAACCCCAATAACTATCAAATAACAGTTATCTATGTCGAATTCATTTTTGATATGAGCTATTACGAAAATTTACTGTTCGAAGTTCGAGAAATTTGTAATTCATTAAATCAAATATAAAGAAAATGGTGTTTATCTCTATTGAACATCGTTGAGTCCTTCAATACTAGTTTATTTTGTAAAATGTAACATGTTATAAACAAAATCATGTTTCATCAAATTCCCTTATTGTTTGCAGTTATAGTTCAAGGTAAATAGATGTTAGAAACATACTAACATGATGTTCTAAACTTTTTGATAAATTTTTGTCCTCTGAGCTGGATAGTTCAGTCGTGGAGCTTTCATAGTTCTTCTGAACGACATTATCAGCACAAACTTCAGGTTCTAGACTTTCATAAAGTGATATTTGCCTAATGTACACAATAGTCTTACTGTATATAATAATTCAAATACAGATTGAAACTTGATAACATAACAAAAAAGAACCGATCAATTTGAATTAATAAGTGAAATTGCAAGCGTGATATCATTACGATTACACATTGAAGCATCCTTAAGTGTTACATAATACAACCTTATTTAAATGAATAATAATTGATAGATATTGAATTACATTTATTATGATAAAATGTAATTTGTTTTTTAAAAAAATGTTTATAATTTGTTTATCATTAATAATTCTTACTTGTAATAATTTACTTTTTCTATAACTGCAAATAAAACAGCATTTTCAAATTATGAACTTATTATTAGGAAAGATGAACTATAAATATTGGTTATTATACTAGAGAATATTGCAACAATTTATAATGTTATGGTAAACGGTGGATTAGTTGAAGTTAGACAATAACACCGTTGGATACTGGCTCAGTGGTCTAAAGGTTAAGTGTTCGCGTGTAAGACTGATAGGTTCTAGGGGTTTGAATCTCGTGAGGCAAGATCATGGATGCGCACTGTTGAGAAATCCCATACTAGGATGAAATGACCGTTCAGTGTTTCCAAGTTTTCCATGGTGATCTAGCTTCAATTGACTTATGAAATTCAACTATTAAATTATAATGTTACGCTCATTTTTGTTTGTATTTTGATGTATTCAACTTTGTGTGAATAAATGGAGTATAAATACATTATCAATTATTTAAAATAAATTGCTATAGTGTGAGCATATTTACAAAACAAGTGACCGAGAATTATAAGCCGGTAAAGATCTGATTATATGACTATGTATCCATTATTAATTCTTTAAAACTATACAATTTCTTATATTGATTGTCTAGAAGAAGTACATTATGAAATATAATTGGTTATCAGTATTTGAATCTTTATTAGATTTTTCTATAGTTATATTTCTTTTAATATGTTACAATAAAGCTTCATTAGAAAATAATACTTACGTGGTTCAATGTTTGAATGCACGCTTAGAATGGTGTACACTAAAGTTACGTAAAGTGTAAAGAAATTCATTTCTAAATACGAATTGTAAGTTGAACAGTTAGACAATTATAATACTTGGAATAATTTAAGTGTTCTCCAACATATCTATGTATATATATATACACGGGTACACAGGCTAATTTCTCTTAGCAATTAAAAGTAATATTTGATGAATAAACTAATTTATTAGTTAACATACATAATCATAAAATATCCAGTTTCAAATGTGAAATACAAATGGAAATAAACATATCCTTTTACATATAAATAATGTTAATGTGTAATAGACGTAATTGTTTTGAATAAACAAAAATGATAGGTAAACATGCATTTCTTTTTCTTTTTTTGCATCAATATTGGAAAGCAGTTCATTCATATGAAATTTTACTAAAACATCTAAATGTACTTTAAAATTTCGTAAAGTGATTTTATCAATTTATTCAATATTCCACAGATTGAAATCATGAGCCAATTGAAGCTAGACCACCATGGAGAATTTGGAAGCACTGGACGGCCGTTTCGTCCTAGTATGGGACTTCTCAACAGTGCGCATCCACGATCCAAAACCCGCGAGATCCGAACACAGGACCAATCAGTCTCGCGCCAAGCTCTTAACCAACTAGACCACTGAACCGGCATCCAATGGTGTTAATGTCTAACTTCAACCAATCCACGGAGTTGCGCCACCGTACACCATTGTCTTCAGTGAGTTACTATCTCATACCAGACCTGGTCAAACTCCATTGGTAACAGCTTCTCACTAGAACTCCAGGTGTATCTCTTGAAGTCAGTCACTAGTGAGCAGATGATCATTATCAGAAGGGGTTTGTGGAGATTTTAGAAATTTCACAGATTGAAATCATGAGTCAATTGAAGCTAGACCACCATGGCAAACCTGGAAGCACTGGACGGCCGTTTTCTTTCTACAACTGAACTCATGATATTTAAGGATGAGACTATCATTTATGAATGACCTTTGAGCGATGCTAGACTGACCTTGAGAATGTCTACCTGATAACTAGGACCAAATGAGGGTTATAAATTAGTATGAGGAATTCGTATTATGATTTATAGTTAGTGGTTTAAGTTAGGAATTAGATTTAGGATTTTCATCATGAACTGATATCAGCTATAATAGCAAAACCTTATTTAGCCAAATGGATGAGTAAATTTTGCGCCAAAATCCGAAACCTATTATCTTATACCTGATTGGTTCATCTATAAATTATAGTTTCGCCTATTTTAACTTCACAAGAAGTATATTATCCACACAGTTTGTTGAACAGAAAAAAATGATAGTCAAATTTTAAAAAAGTTTATTTAAGTTGGCAATAAAAGTTAGTTGTCAATTAATGTTGAAGGAGAATATTTATTTCCATTAATAATCATATTAATATCTACAGGGTAGAATGTTCTATTTGAAGATAGGATCTGTTTCAAGGGTACATAGTTTTACTTTAGTATGAGGTATTTATACGAAATAAACAATTAGTTGGAAATAGTGAATTCGACTGATTTATATAAAGAAAGCCTATTGTTTCTTAATGTGCTTAAAATGCTAAATGTTGAACGTTCGAAAATACTTTACTTTAAATTTGTAATGTAGAAATTATATATCAACAGTTTTTTTTATTTACTTGCTTTTATTTACTTAATTACATAATTCATGACATCGAATGAAAACAAGGGAATTTCTTCAATAGAGAAAATGGAATGGACTATAGTTATAACGAATAAGTGAGTGAAATAAACTATACGAAAAAAGTTTCTGTTTACGATTAGAGCAACCATATTTGGTCGTTGGTACACAGTTTGGCGTAATGTGTCGAAATCAAAATGTAGGCATTGCACTTTGCAATGATTTATCAGCCTTATACAATTCAGGTGAAACAGAGTGTATATACATACACGAGCTCTCAGTTTTTCAGGGATAAATTTATGTATAAAGTTTGTATAAGATGTTACCTTTGTTCTAATTCTGTCTTGATCTTCTTGTTCACCTCTTGTTTTATGTTGCTCTATACTACTTACCGATATTCAGTAACGAGTTTCATATCTAATCAACTTTGAGATTCATTTATTTGAACACATATATTGATACAAGGGGGAACCAGATACATATTTGAGGGCTGTGATACTACCCGGGTAGCCAAACCGAAGCAGGTGGTTTTCTTAGGGGGCCATACGCGGAAGCTTCGACCTAAATTTCTGATCCACAAGGCAGAAGAGCATCGTAAGGAGATGCCGTCCCATGGTGGCCAGTGACCAACAATTGGTTCATACGCCATTTGTTCCGTCAGGATACTGGAGCCCATGAGCACCATTGGTTTGGAATCAGGGTATTCCAACTTCCCTAGGTGGACTCTCCGTGTCCAACAACTCGGTTAATGCTCCGGAATTCTCTTTTCATCCTCTCAATTTCGTAAACAACACCCACGCAGCGAGAAGGCAGTGAGTAGGACTTCCCTGGCAGAGGCTATATACGCGTGGCCATGTGAGAGCATTTCGAGAGGGAGAGCGGACTCTCCCCACTGTCGGCCGTACCAGGGCATTTGTGGGCATCAACTTTGAGAATGTGGTGTGGAACGTGTATTTCTTATCACAAATTGTTCTTAAGTACCTGCGTAGACAAGTAACCTTTACTCTATTTTTTGTTTCGGCAGAACAGCTTCCATATTTTGTGCTCTTGTCGTTTGTTCGATTGTTATCAGTCACCAATGACCTTAGTCAGCTGACGACTTTATTTAAACCATTGTATGTTGTAGATAATTTCTGGGTAATTACTGAAGGAAGCATTTTTCTCTTTAATATACACAGACACATTAACTGCCATAAATACCTCACAAGTTGAGGTTTGTCACCAATCTAAATATATTTTGTAATGATATAACTATTCACTAAATAAAATATATATTGGAATTCGATTTTCACGCGTAAGTGATTCGTGTGGTTGGATGCCTCGGTAGGATTTAATACAACCTGTAAATGAACTGGGATAAGGCGGAACAGTCATGTAACCACGAAATGTATCATTCCAACTCTATTAATTATTTGGTACTTATTCACGTTTAATAATGTCTTTCCTCATGTACAATTTTCATGTGTTGATTTTGTTTATTTCTCTACCACTCATTAGCATTTTTTAAACCACATAAACTAACATTACAACTACTACAATGATTAATTTCTATATCGATTCACACCTCACAATTGACTGACACATTAATCTATACAGTACATAATTCAACACTCACTTCCTATATATTTTAAACTTATTGGTCTACTGGTCAAGTACCTGGGATATAACCATTCCTAAAGTATTTTGTACGAAACCGCTTTTAAATCTCATCTCCAAGTGAATCTAATTATACACTGGGGTCGGTTTAAAAGCTCTACGGAATTAGTTGGAATTTATAATAATTGGAAACAGATACACTTACGCCCACGTTGGATAAAAAATGGTAAATCGGACGTCGCAAATCATAACGTCTCAACAATTCATCAGCCATTTTCCCTCCAACACTAGATTTATTATATTGACATTATAAAATTAACGATTTGGTGGATAATATTTATCGTCACTAAAAATGAACGCAAATTTTAGGAGTCATACTCACCTTGGTTTCAAGTTTTGTTTGGCTTGAAAGTCATTCAGTGCTCAGTTACCAAATCCATAAGCAGTATTCACCCATTATAATCATGTAAGCGTAACCTCTAAGCGGGAGACGTATGACACATCAGCCATTTATACTTATAATCTACGAGCCATATATAAATTAAACTGTTGAAAGACAAAATAAATTTCCTTACGAAAAGTTACGATTAGTGAAGCTTAATGTATTGGGTAATTAGTTCATTATATAGATTACCAACCATCAATAATGATGTGAAGGCTAGAGTCAAGTCAGGGCACTCAAGTCGAATCAGGTGGTTTCCATAGAGGATCACCCCTGAGCTTTTCAAATAAACGTACACGAGATAATATAAGATACAATCCCATAATAAGCTACTTAATCTCTGAACATCCTGGACCTCATGCTCATTGGTCCGAGGCCAGGGTTTTTAAATTCCCAAATGTGAATTTTAAGTGTCCATCAAATTCACCTGAGCTGCAAATATCTGCGAGACAACTGTAGCAATCTTACACTTTCGTCGTCTCAGCAACACTGTCTAAACTTTCCTATACTCTACTTTTGATGGCCGTAAGAGAAAATGATTACTGACAAAACAAAGATCATCTATACTAACATGATTTTGACACATTCTGCGATGCTTTTGTCCCCAGTATTGTTCTTAAGGGTAGTCGGTAATCACGAATTAATATGACCACTAGACAGATTTATATATTTCTTAAGATAGAATGTATTCATTTGATTTATTTACAAAGCACTGTAAAATACCGGATCTTAACGTGACAAATAATTGCATTTTACATCTTGTGATTGCAATTGAATGAAAAAGTAAGATAAAACTGAATAATGAATATTAATGAATTACAGTCAAGTCCACGAATCATGAACAAAAGTTGTTAGTTTGATTATGCAACAAATAGTTAAGTATATGAGATTAAAAAGTTTCAATTAAGCAAATAAATAACGTTGACCAAAAAATTATTGTATATATACACAGTTCAGTATTCCAATGAGATTTAGAAATTATATTTTAGCTTTCTAAAGCTAGTCCATTATTTATTTTTTAATGAACAATATAGGAGAAAATCAACAGTCATATAGGTTTCAGATCAGTTACCCAGGACTCCTAATTAATGTTATATTGTCAGTAAAGAAATCACTGATGAAAAAAGATTTAAATAAATTGTTATACTACATGTTAATTTAGTAAACTACGTTCGCTGAAGACACGAGTACGTTGTGCTTCAACATTTCCTTTCCAACGCTGTTGTTGATCTCGAACACGATTTACAACACTAGATACTCCAACAGATGTAGAAGGTATTGTGGTAAGATTTAATCCATTAGGATCTTCAACTTGATCATTTGAAATTAGCCCAGAGCGATAACGCAATCGCCAGCGATTTGAAGGAGCTGCTTTAAAGAAAGTAAAACCGAATCCTCACTTTTATAGTAAATAGGTGAACATAACAAAATCAGTAAAATCTAAGCATAAATTGTCTGAACGGCAATTTTTTGCACATATAGTTAATGGAATTGTGATATAGTACTAAGGTCATGATGGGAAACAGTTATCTTTATTTGAACGCTAGGAGGTGACTATACATTTCGAGTGAAGTTTATTGCAAATTAAGTTTGAATGGATAGAAAAACGACAAAGTTATCAAAATTACGAAATAAAACCGCCAATAAAGCAATAAAACGTGTAACATTAAGCAATATGTTGGTATATCATGATCTATTTGATAATTTATAATAAGTTGGTTATTTGAAAAGAAGTAGCGGAATTTAAAAGCATTGTTGATTGACTTATTTGTGGTTAATCTGTTCGAAGTAATGCATTTGTTGGAAGCTTAACATACTACCCTAATATATATATATGCATGCATGTTCTAACAATTCACATTGGTGGATATCGATTAAATTGTTAAGTTTTTTCGATCATAGCCTATGGTTAGAGATCGCCACATCTCTACCATTCCGCTTAGCATAAGAGATTTTATATTTTATGTGATCAAATTTTATTAGCGATTAATAAGGTAGTTTTTGGATTTTTGTATAACTTGAAAACCAGTCAAAACTAGATTACAAGTTCGCTTTTACGTGGTTATGTATGTGCATGGTGGGACAAACTAATCCCCTTCACTCTTCAACTGACGTCAGTTTGTAATGATAATTAACCCAAAGTAATTATAAACAACAGAATTCAGAATACGGTCAGTGGCTAATTCACAATTGAAAACTTTAAAACTTACTGATTATTCTCAAATTGGAATCCATAAATTGTTTAGGAGTCAACTTAGTTTTATCCCAAATAACTGCTTTATCAATCGCTTTAGAATATACAGCTGAATCACCATGACCACTACTACTAACGGGAATGTTTATATTAACCCATGAATTAGTTGATCTTGCATCATTTATCTTGTCATTATTATTGTGTTGATTAATAGTAAAGTTATTTGGCTGTTGTGGTTCTGAACATATTCCCATATCAATTATTGTTTTATGTGATAAATGTCTTGTAGATAGTAATGGTTCAAGTAGTAAGAGAAATAGCATATATAAAACCAAGGCTGTAATGACTGTTAGAATAAGGCAAACAACAACCTAAAATAATATGAAAAGAAATAATGGTTGATAGACCAAATGTAATATAAACGACTTATTGACCGATGAATATAATGTGATTAAATAAGCTGTTTCTGACATTTCTACCTCGTATAAAATGGAAAGATACATTATTTAACCATTTAGTCATTGAAAAACATAAACCAAAGGTACTTAAGCACAGAAAAAACGTGACATGCACAGGCTGAACTAATCACTTTGGCGTTGTTTGATATATTAGATCCCTAGAAATCACTTGGTAAACGTCTTGTTTTTATAATTTTATTTTGGAAACTTGAATTTCTTGTTTTCACGCCGAAAGCGCCCATTTTCATCTTTATATTGTATTTCCCACTTGGCAGGTTCTTAAATGTCATTGATTCGTCCCCTCTTTTAATATGCTATTTTGTGACGTTTCCCAAGGATATTTCTATATTATATATACGCTTGAGTTACGTGCTTTTTGTCGTTTGTGCTTCTTACTGCTTGTGGAATATACTTTCCCTTATCTGAACCTGGACTTCTCCCTCTGGTTAGCGGGTCTGAGACGCATCAGAATAGTTTAGCTGTCATGTCGTTGTGTCGCTGATCCTTCGTTCCATTTGCCGACTTTTAGGTGATCTCATAATATCTTCAGACATAGTAGATGCTAAACACGTGTTAATTCAAACCAAATGTTGCTAAGCTATTCAACAGTATTAAAAGAAATACTTTTATTTGTATTTTAGTGGCTTGAGATCGTACAGGATATATTTAAAAGATAAAACGGTGATGAATAAAGGTATACGATTAGGATTATTTTATTTATTTGCTGTAAATAAGCACACTTTGATTGCAACATATCTCCACTTGCATATTCATGATTATTAAGAGCTAGTTACTACAATAAAATATTATTACGTTCAACAGCTATAACAAACGTTAGATGGCTTTTGATGGTAAAATACGTTTCCATTATGAAAAATAGAGAATATAAACGCATATATTACGCACGCCTCATCACCACTAAGAAAGAATCACTAGTAAAAATCGTATTAGTTGGACTTTGGAAATGCTATCACATTATTGTGTATCCTATTTTTTTAACCTATTAACCTACGTAACATTATCATACATCATCGACACATAATACAAGTGAAAAGGCAGATACTTATTAATGTATTTATCAGGTAAAAACGAAGAAATAGCAATCTATTCATGTTTACTTGGATTTGAAAACTGTTACTTTGTTCAGTATTTTTAAAGATACGGGAACTTTACAACTTATTTTCAAGTCAACTTGTAGTACAAAGGAGTAAACTTGAAATTAAGTAAATTACTAGTTTCTAAAACAAGTAGCAGAGTACTAAGTTATTATTTACAAAATCCAACTTAATTCAATTAGTTACATATTTGAATCAACCATCTGTGACCTGAACACAAGACAAAGTTTCTACTAATAGTGAGAATGACAATAATGAAGACAGATACATCCATTCCGTTTTCCGATAACTGTGATAAGAAATATTAGTCATGAATTATTTTTAAGATTTTCTTATCACTAAGTTATAGTACTGAACAAGAAATGAACTAAAATAAAATTTTACGATACATTTAACTATTCTTATAAACGTCAAGAAATTATTTATTTCAGTACGAATAATAAAACCTACTTTTATGGTAGCAGTATTTCTAACCTGAAATTTGCATTCACAATAACGACAAAGGTCTTTATCGTTTTGTAACATATATTCACAGGTACTACATTAAAGAAAAATATTAGACAAATGTCAATTTAAAGTAGTATACCATTTCTCAGAAGGAATCGCTTTCACATATATCTTCTTTGATGATTTAGTATTATTCATATAGGAGCTTGGGAGTAAACAGACACATTTACACCGAGCATCTTCGTAAGCTGCCTATAATGTGAGAATGAAATTAGCTCAACAAACAACATGGATTACCGAAGCAGAATTTATGATTAATACACATATGAACACTGCATAAAACTCCATTTGTTACATACGGTCCAGAATTATATCATGGATAATAACCTAACAAATGATTAACAGATAAACAGGTCAAAACTTTCTCAAAAGATATATTTAAAAAAAGAAAATAAGCACGAAATTCATAAGGCATATGTACTAGTCTCTAACCTTGGTTGTCAGCGACTACTAAGTCCTCCAGACTGAGGCTTTATTTTGACGTTAAAAAAGTAGAGCAGGAAAACTATGATAAAGTGCCAGATAATCTGACTGTCTTCCAGTTTAATAATCTTATTTTACTAACTGAGCTTTACTCCTTTTATTCTTATCAGAGTTTACTCACTATGTAATCGCATGTCTCTAGCCGATTGGACTCTTGTTACAATCAATGTTGTAGAATGTTTTTCTACACAAGATGTACATTTACAAAATTCAGCCTATTGAATTTATTTACACCCTGACTATACCATACTGACGTGTCTTCAAAACAACTTCCAACTAAACACTTTCACGTAAGCAATTTAAACTCATTTCAGAATTATTTTTGTAAATATTACAGGTTGTAAGCAGTTAAAGACAACCAAATGAAATTAAATGGATTCATGCTATTCTGCAAGAATTTTTGTTCTTGCCCTCTTCTAAATGTGTTTTCTCGTTAGCTATCTATATTTAATTCAAAGATACAGTTTTTAGATGTCACTCGCTGTTCGCATGTAGTATCAGGATGTGATCTTAGAAACCAACGTTACCGAGAACTATATAGCCCCCAAATGCCCTGGTATGGTCGAGAGTGGGGTGAGCTCGCTCGCCCTCTCGAAATGCTCTCACACGGCCACGCGTATACAGCCTCTACCAGGGAAGTCCTACTCATTGCCTTTTCGTGGCGCGGGAGTTGTTTACGAGAATGAGAGGAAGAAAAGCGAATGTCCGGCGCTTTAATCGGATTCCAAACGAATGGTGCACATGGGCCCCAGTATCCTGTGGGAACAAATGGCGTATGAACCAATTTTCGGTCACCGGCTACCAAGGGACTGCATCTCCTCACGATGCTCCACTGCCTTGTGGGTCAGACTTTCAGGTCTAAGGCTCGGGGTGTGGACCTCTAAGAAAACCACCTGGTTCGATCTGGACACCCGGGCAGTATCACAGCTCACACACAACTATGATGAACTGTCTATATTTGTGGAAAATACTCTTCTTGCTGCGATTAACAATCAAAATGATTCACATTATTATTATTATTATTACTATTATTATCATTATTATTATTTACTACGTCATTTATTCAATCTCTTTTATTCCCACTCTGTCTATCCTTATTTTTCAACTCATACAACAGCTCACCTATGGTGGAAATTCGGCTCTATCTAACGTTCTCGAGTCACTGTCTGATTGAAAATTGTATGTTACCACCGAATACGAGTACTGAAGCAGTTTTTCAGAAACCACGTGCACCATTCAAACTGGTTGCCTTCAACGTTCGCACACTTATGCAGGTTGGACAACAGATAGGGCTGGCTGTCTTTAGAAAGTCTTAATATCGATGTTTGTTGTCTGTCCGAGACCCGTATTCAGGGCTCTGGTGAAGTAATACAAATTCGCTCTCCATCTGTCGCCGGTGACGACTGATCCACCGAGTGAATCGGAAGTCCGCAAGGAGCTCCAACTCTTGAAGCGTTACAAATCACCGGGCCCAGATGACTGACCTCCGGTTCTTTTTAAAGATGGTGGTGGCTTTCTGACTAAGGAACTGACGACGTTGTTTACAAAGGTCTGGGAACTAGAGAGTGTACCAACGTCACGAAATGAGTCGATAGTTGTCCCTATCTTTAAAAAGGGTTCACGTCGTTCCTATAACAACTATCGGGGGATAAGTCTACTTCCGATTGCGTACAAACTATTGGCTTCCGTCATACTTCGTAGGTTGTTCAAAACCCGAAAAAGACTGACTCGCGAGGAGCAGGCCCGACCGTTGTTGCTACCTTGACGTGGTGGTCGGGATTGCCTATCGTGATTAAGCAACCGAGCTATACTGGCTGGAACAACTGTTACTCAAGGTTCTACCATGTCAGACAGGTCGGTTGAAGAGCGGTAAGACTAAAAGCAACAAACCCAAGGTTCGAAGGCGAAGTCGTACTGCTGACTGTACAGAGGTGTGACAGCAGTAAGGTTTTTTTTCAGACAACCAGCATGACAGCGATGCTGCCTTCCCACAAGGAGGGGTGGGGTTAGAAAAGGTCGACCCTAAAAATGTCACACCTCACCTTACCTCACGGATTTCCGTCTCCGGCGGTAAGGCCCTTTGAAGAACGGAGCTAACACATTAAAAACCTTCCATGAAAAAGCCGTGCGCGACCGGCCTCAAGCAGTTGTCCGCTGGGCTCTGCGGTCACGGTGTGGGCAGCCGGGAAGTGATATCAGCCCTCATACCCGTAACAGTACACGAGACCAAGTTGGTCACATTCAAATCCTTCCTACACCTCCTAATACCTCTCTTATCTCCATGACTAACCCTCCTTACGTCCCTTTATCATCTCGCACCGCTAGGGCAAACGATTCGAGTACGCGGAACGCTATTCCTGGTCTCCTGAAACCACTCTCTAAACTACACGTAGGAGCTTTTAACGTCCGAACACTGTCAAATAGGACATCAGGCTTCCTTAGCTAGGACTTTAGAATCCCGCGCCATCGATGTGTGCTGCGTCTCCGAAACGCGCATACAGGTTCCGAGTAGCGTCATTCATCTGACCTCACCATGCCAAAATAAAGAACCGACTCGATTCACACTTCGTGTATCTGAAAACCCTGATTCTGCTTCCCATGGCCTCGCCGGCGTAGGTATAGCATTGAGTCCTAGGGCAGAACTAGCTCTATTAGAGTGGATCCCAGTAGACAGTCGTTTGTGCGCTGTCCGACTAAACGGAACAGTAAGGATCCGAAAAGATAGGGACATTCGTCGTTGCCTCTTCGTCGTCTGTGCCTATTCTCCCACTGACTGCAGCGCAGATGATGTAAAAGATGAGTTTTACAGAATGCTCTCCGACCTCCTCCGAAAAGCTAGGCGCTCGGATGTAGTAATAGTGGCCGGTGACTTTAATGCTCAAGTAGGTAAACTAAGCGATAGGGAAAGACACCTGGGTGGATCTTATAGCATCGCGGCTCAAAGAACAGATAATGGCGACCGTCTGTTGCAGCTATGCTCAGATAACCGCCTGTTCCTTGCAAATACTAACTTTAAGCATAAGGAAAGACATTTTTTAACATGGCGACCCCCTAATTCGTCCCAACGTTGGACCCAAATAGATCACATCGCTATCAGCCACCGATGGAGGGGCTCGATAGAAGACTGTCGCTCATTCTGGAGCACATGCTTAGATCCAGATCATGCTCTAGTACGAGCGTGTATCTGTCTGTGTCTTACTGGACGTAGGAAAGATGCTGCAAGGAAACCTCTCAGGGGCCTACTTAATGATAGTCAAGCTAAGAGTATATTTCAGGAACAACTAGGAAAACAGTTAGGCAGCCATGTATGTGATGCCCACCCCGATGCAGCATGGAATGATATCCGAAAAGCTGTGGAAACAGCAGCGATATCTGCTAGTAAGGTAAACCAGAAAGTTAGGGAGCAACACTGGATCTCAGCAGCATCTATCGCACTGATAGATGCTCGGAAACTCATTCCACCTGGCTCTGAACATAATGAAGAGCGGAGTCAGATTAAGCACAAGCTGACAAGAAGCCTACGCAATGATCGCGAAGTGGTGGGTAGAGAAAGCAAGAGAGACGGGAAAGGCAGCGGCAATAGGTAATAGCAGACAATTGTTCAGACTCGTTAAGGAAACCGGAATTAGGAACCCGACCGTTGGCGAAACAATCTCAGAGAAAGATGGACATATTATTCATTCTCAATCCAGGAGATTGGATCGATGGGCAGAACACTTTAGGGATCAGTTCAACTGGCCTTCAGCCACACTTCGGTTTCCCACGATCTCTAGTCAACCTGAATGGCAAGTTCATGTAGGTCCTCCGTCCCGTTACGAAGTTGAAAAAGCCATAGGAAATCTGAAGTGAGGGAGAGCAGCAGGCCCTGACAGGTTTACTCCTGAGATTTTTAAGGATGGTGGTCCAGTATTAGCAGTGAGATTGACTGAGGTCTTAGGTAGAATTTGGGAACTGGACGTAATCCCATCTGACATGTCTCAATCACTGATTGTGCCAGTCTATAAGAAAGGACAAAAGTACTCTTGTGACAATCACAGAGGAATCAGTTTGACAAATATAGTGTCTAAAATATTAGCTTCAATAATACTTCGACGCCTAACCAAAGCTCGTGAAGAACAGACTAAATAAAATCAAAGAAGTACATTAACCTTATACAGGCTCTCTACTCGAACACAACTGGTCGAGTCAGAGCTTATGGCAAACTGTCATCAGAATTGATTACCTCAAGTGGTGTTCGTCAGGGCTGCCCACTCTCTCCATTCTTGTTCAACTTTGTCGTCGACGTACTTTTAGAGATAACACTTTCCTCGTCTAGATTTCCAGTGGTTGAACTTCTACCGGGAGGTTCACTTGTTGACTCAGAATATGGCGATGGCATGGTTCTACTTGGTGAAGACACTGACAAAATTCAGTCTTCTAATCACTAAGCAACAATGTATGCATGTTTGGGAGGCGATTCTCCCCCTCGAAGTGCAAAATGCTGCTTCAGGATTGGGTTGCATTGACACCCGAACTAATGATAGGGAGTGAAGTAGATGAGCGTGTCAACCGCTTCACTTGTCTGGGAAGTCTCGTCAGCCATTGTGGTCTGGTGTGTGACGAAATCTAAGCACAGATACAGAAGGCTTGACTAGCTTTTGCCAACTTGCGTCATTTATGACGTAGGCGAGATATCCGTCTATCAACCAAAGGACGTGTTTACTGCGCAGCAGTTCGTTCCGCCCTACTTTATGGCTGTGAAACATGGCCGGTAAGAGTGGAGGATATCCGTAGGTTACTAGCATTTGATCAAAGGTGTCTTCGAA